CAGCCAGGGGAATTAAGAGTTGCACCGGCACAGTACACGCTCTACGCTCATCAATTCTTGAGCCAAACTAAACATAAAAAAAAATATCAGTAGATAGATATATTTATATAAGTACATATAAATAAAAAGCCAAATATAACAAACCATTCAATCTGGAATTTCGGGGAATTAAATTAATGAAAAGCTAATGACAGGTTCACAGCCCAGTCATTTAGGCTCTTAAATGGCATTTTTTCTGTGCCAGAATACTGATGCAGCCCCAGAGACTCCCAGGTAGCTCAGCAGGTGTCCGTTTATCATCGTTATTATTATGGCACCTATCAGCTCTAGCCAGGGTCAGGTCCTCCCGTACTCGGCACAACGCAACAAAATGAAGTGGCAGCGTGTTGCAGAGCGTCTCTCAAAATGACGGACCTAGAATTATTTCAAATGGGCAAAATTGGCCAATTTTGACGGAATTAGGATGCTACAGTGGATACAAGGATTTGAACAGTGTGTTTTAAGGACTCTTCATTTTAACAAAGCTGCCTAAAAATACACACGCACGCGCACACACACACACACTTTTATCCGCACCTTTGTGCAAATTGTCAATATATACGTCCAACATTTTAGCCAACAAAGACCATAATGAATAGTTTTTCATCTGCACAAAGACAATGAACCTACTTTCCTTCTCCTAATTTAATTATATTACATTCCCCCGTGCGCTTTGTATTTTTACAGCAGTATGAATGCCGTAAGCTGGAGATACCACTACCGATTCTCACAATTTTGTCACGATTCCCATAATACTTGGTGGTGGTTTTTTTTTTTTTTCCCTTAAATATACTATTTAAGTAAAATTAAAAAGCGACACTTCTGGTTCATAAGGTGCTGAGGAAAACCTTGAAAACGCAAAGCCTAAGGTCTCAGGAATACAGAAGGCAAACAGGAGAAATCTTCAACAAAATCTCTTTTTTTTTTTTTTTTTTAAAGATCTCAGGATACTGAATACCTAACTGACAGTTTTGAAAGCTTAGATTTAACAATTCTTCTCGTGATTCCGAAATGAGTAGTTGCCATGTGGTTTTCACAATGATGGACACGGCGAGTTTTACATGTCACCGTGCATCCCAGGACCACCCTTTCTGTCCCCTCTACGCGCAGCCGGGGCTGATGCCGTAATTAGCCCTGCAGGGGATGGCCACGGCGCGCAGGTAGGGATGGGGGCACAACGCGTCTTTCCTCCTGTGCGGGCCTTTCATGCAGGCAATGACAAGGGAAAACATTCTTTTTAAAGCAAAATAATTGTAAACCCACAAAATTTGGCAGAAAAAACTCAAAGGAGGCGTTGTACCAGAAACTTATTTTCTGTAAACTAAATATAAAATTGACTCCATCAACTTGAAATTCTCACTTTCTGTTAAATTTCATAAAATTATTATAAGCGAGGAGTTGGGAAAGTTCCACAATTTACCGTCAACTACAAGAAGCTGCTTCTGAAAATAAACCCCCGACTGCACTGTATAAGGGGTAACAGAAGTAAGGAGCTGAGATGTGTTCATGAATCACGGCTCCAGTTTTTCAAAATCAGTAATTAGCGGAACGCAGTGACCCAACAACTATTTTTAGTGCTGTGTGTTCAAAAAGTAATTTACGTGTAGGTATTATTAGACGCACATTTAATTTCAAACCACAATTACACAAAGTTTTAATTACTAAATATTAGGATACATTTTAGCATATGGTTTATGATTATCATTTGTAATTCAAGCTATAAACAATACAACTAATTACATTTATTGGTGGAACTTTACTTCCCACACATGTTCAATCACTTTCAATTATTCCCCTAGTAATCTATGACCCAGCAAGGTACAGAGACCGTGTGCCAACGCTGCAGTAACTGGGTAACAGTTTCTATGCACTCCAGCATGGTATTACAGACTCACCCCGTTTTTCTTCACATCTTGCAATCACAGACATGCAAAAACGTAGATTAAGAAAAGCTGCAAAGACCAATAAAAATGTTAGATGCTGCGGCACGCAGCTGAAAATTGCAGCCAGGTTTTACTGGTTTGTTTAACGAAGGAATTCCAAGCCATAGCCCGACTATGACGGTGAGATGAAATTTGCAACGAAGACCAGGCTTGGCCACCAAGGGTTTGTAAACAAAAATGCCCCTACTTTTTAGCCGAAACTCCACCTGAGGTGGTTGTGTTTGCTCTCTTTTCACTTTTCGAGTTTCCCACCAAAACGCACTCCCACATCCCAGGGCCAGACCGGCCAAACCTGCCGCTCCTGTGCCGGCGCCTTTAGCAGCCGCAAACCACGGCGCCGGGACTGGTCCTGCCCCGGACCAAGGCTGGACACGTCCCTGCCCCCCTCCGGTGGCACAAACGACCACGGACGAACGAGCCTGTGCTCAACATCAGGTTTCGTCGGTTTTTCCTGCGGAGGGCGGGAGCTCCAGGTTCCCACCGAGAGCCCTGCGCCGCAAGGAAGCGATGGAGACCTCGGTGATGGAGACGGCTGCGAACAGTCGGGACAGACCCTTGCAAAGCGAATTTAAAAGATACTCATTGAAAACGCAGATGTTTTTGGACTTTTTTTTTTTTTTTTGGTTGCTTGCTTTCTTTTTCCCTGCAGGCACAATAAAATGTAGAGGGCCCAGGCAGAAACCTTCCCCCCGAATTAAAGCCATATGCTTCACTCCTGCAAGAGGCACGGATGCCGACGGAGCAGCTGTGCAACAGGTCTCCATAACGACTGTAACCTCCAATTTTCTGAATCAGTTGACCCCAAATTCTTGCACAGCGAGTGTAGAGGTGGTACGGTTGCTATATGGTGCAGCTGCTCTATCGCCCTCACCATCTCCCCCACAGCAAAGAAAGTGAAGCGATCGAGTATGTATTTGTCATAAGACAGTAATTGCCCATCAGCTGCTCTGTTTCTGGTTTTTTTTGAGCTCTTTGCAATTACTAAGTGCCATATGGATATAAAGTTGAAGAGAAAGGCGATCACAGCAAAATAAAATCTTACAAATTAATATCGTGAAAAAATAGTTCGGGGTTTATTGCAATGATATCGGCTCCAGTGTGTGCATTATTTAATTAAACTGCTTTCACTGCAGCTCAGCTACCAAACCACCTCTACCAAACCCAGGTGTTAGTATCCTTTGATTTCTTTAAAAAACAATCGGGCTACATTAAATATACTTCTCAGGTCTAGTTTTGCATGACAGATATGTGATGTGCCAATGGTTATATATTATATTCTTCCTCTCAGGCATGCATCTCCTGCAGAGACAGCAGACTACAGAAGCTGACCCTCACTGAGACCATCTTGTCTCCCTGACAAAGCTCCTTTTTAACTTCTTACTTACTGGTTGCTTCCTGCGATGGATAAAAACTTTAGCTCAGCTTGTGATAATTTCGCAGGCCCTGAGCACCCTGACCCTGGAAGCCCCGAGGTCAGAAGTCAAGTCTTGTTCTGAAACATCTGTGTGCTTCATATTAAAGTAGAACAAAAGTGAAGAAATATCCACCAGTGTGACAAGAGAAACAGGCAAAATGGGAATGACACGTTGGTCATCTGTTACCCATGCCACCCCAAGCCATTGGCTGAAACGTGACGGAAAAACTCTCCAAGCCTCCTTCCAATGAGCGCTTTGTTTAGGAAACACTGAGAAAGGTCTCCAGGCGGTTTTTATTCCCACCCTGTGCCAAGCGTTACGGATCCGCAGGCGTCTGGCCACCCAAACAAGGTGGCTTTACAAAACCCTCAGAAATTCCGCCCACGCTTCACTTGGCGCAGAGGAGGCACAGCAGAATAAGCTGGGCTGAAACACGGGGCAGCTGAAAATCACAGCGCGGGAAAGCCACGACAGAAGAGATGCTCCCTGCCCTCCGCCGCTCCTGAGGAGCAACAGGCAGACGCAGTGCAACATGTTTCTTGCCCAAAGTTGGGGTTATATAAGCAGTTATCAATCCTTACTAATATGGCCCATTAAAAAATTTAGTTTTGAGGCTGTTTATTGACCTGGTAATAAAATACCAGCTGAACTGTTCTCCAGCCTCAAGTCTGTACACATCATATGTGTTTTAAAAATGCTCTTCTGGAGGCACAGGGAAAATAAAAAATGGCCTTAATTTCTACAAAGGAAAAGGGTTAGCAGAAATCTTAAGTTCTTAAAATACTACAAGTGGCCCCACTCTGGATTCTTCTTGCTACTTAGAGCAGCACAAGATTAAAACCAAAACACTCATGCGTACTTTTTCCTAAGTAAGGCATTCATCTCACATTCAGGCAGGAACCACTTTTACTGACTTCCAGTTAGACTAAACTAACGTGTTACAGACCAAAGATGTACATGTAAGTCTGCTGAGTCCTGTGTCTATAAAACCAACGGCAATATGTTCTGCCACTTCCGTTTTCACAATAAACAGGCCTTTTTTTTTAAAAAAAAATTCTTCAATAAAACATGTCCTGATTACACCAGCATGTCACAGTGAAGTGAGGAGACTATGCCTACGCTCAACGAAAGGTATGCAAGTTCAACAGGCAACTTCGGATATCACATGGGATCAAAAAATTTGCCTTTAGAGCAAGGGGTGAAAGACTGAGAAACTGCATGTTCTACAGTCCCCGCACCAGGGGCAGGGCAGCTTTACAGGGAGCAGAGTCCTCCCCACCTCGCATCACTGCAGGATTTAACCACAACGGCAAAAAAAAAGTCTTCCCAGTGACTTCTGCAGACCTTTGTGGAAAAACTGCAAAATTGGGTAAAACCGCCAAACCTCCCCTCACGTTCAGCTCCATATCTGTATACAAGAAGGTGCACCTGTTAATGTGACTTTGCTTTACAACCGTTCTTCCACGTTCTCAGTCTTCACCTCCTGTCCAACCACCGGTTCGGAGTTGTTCCTAAATGGCTGCTTGCAAGAAGGTGATCTCAAAGAGTTTAGAACATCTGTGAAAGAATTTAGGAAAGAAGGCAATGGAGAAATCACACTTACCAGCTCTACAAAGGCAAGTCCACCATAGCTGTGAGCAACAAAGAACACGTTCTCTGCAGCTGACTGGGAAATAAAATGGTCCCAAACATAAATTGCATGTTCTTCAGGAGATCCATTATCCTGCAGAAAGAAATTGCGTTTGCGACAATTACCTTTTAAAAACTGGCAATTCTGTCTAAAAGCAACGCGTTCCTATATGTTAAGATGTTTTGTTAAAACAAACCTCGAATGAATATACTCTAGTGTCAAAAAAAAGAACAGATTCATTTGTCTAAATAAAAGAAATTTAAGATCGCAATTTAAAGGCAGTAAAACTGTTGCTTTATTGTGGCTTATTTTAATAAATACAACAAAAATTATGCATCTGCAAAATTTTGTCTAAATACGATGATGGCAATTCAGCTAAACGGAGGCATTCAGAGAAATTATGAGCCACTGCTCTGATTTTCATTCTTTTGACAACTCTTTGTCAAATGTTTGTTCACTGATGGTTTGTTTAAAGTAGTTAAGCCTTAGTCTGATAAAACAAATAAAAACAAGACCGAACAATATGAATATAATTTCCGTCCTTACAGTTTTTTTTTCATTTTGCGGGCCAACGCAAGTCTGCCAAAGATTGAAACTATGGTATTTGCAACTACTCTTTTAAATGCTGCTTTTTGCAAGGGCGGACTATGAGCCACAGGGCACACACAACACCTCCTGACTGCTTACGCATCAGCCGCTGCTTTGGGGTCTCGGGTGGGGAGGAGGGTGCTTCTTCTTAGGACTGAAGAAGAATTTGGGGACGCCTTCACTGTCAGAGCCACGGGAGTGATTTACACTGATTTTAGCACGCTCTCCTCAAACCTCTGGATGTGCACTCCCACCTCCACCTTAGAGGCTCTCAGAAAGCCCCGCACCACCCCCACTCTCCTCTATATTTTACTTATTTTGCAGGTTGTCCACGTTGTAACTACGAATCTGCCCCGCCTGAGGTGACAGGAGTGAGATGCTCTGCGGGGTCCACTGCCCCACCAGGATGTCACACCTCTTGCACAACACTGTGGGCGCTTTCTGGGCGCTCTCGTGCCGCAAAGAGCCCATCAGTCAAGGTCACCTCACTTCCTAAAATTTGCACCCCTTTCTCTTTGCTGCGCTCCACCGACAACCTCATCCCCCTCAGTGACCCAGGCGCAGACCACAAAAGCCCCAGTTCCTTGGGGAAAATAAAGCACAAACCAGCAAAAGCCGCTGGCGATCAGAAGGTGCTAATCACGTAGTGTGAATTACCGCAACTTTACCAAGAATGCTGAAGTGGTTTAGGTCTTGGTCCCATTCTGAAACTCAGTTTTGGGAATTTAAGCTCTTACGAGTGTCTAAAATCAACGGGAAGACAGACAACTAAATAACGTCGTGGATTTAGGCTTTTACGTCTATTCTCATCCCCCGTTTCCTAAATAGGAGTGAGATGGCTACAAATCTTTATGGATTGGACCCAAAGCTTTTAAAACAATTATGTGCTTTTAAATTTTTTTTTCGCTAAGGTAGCAGCGATTAAAACATATTTATCAAACTTGCCAAAAAGCACTGAAGGTATTCTTCTTCATCCTGGACAGCTTCTGCTCTTGATTGACTATGACAGAACATGGTTTTAACGAATTACGTATAAACTATTGTAAACCATCTCGGTGTGAGAAAGGGCTCATTTTCTTTCAACCTTGTTTTGAAATTTGATTGTAGAGATAGGTAAAGGAGGTAGAGACTCCTCCCTCTGTGAGGAAAGAGGGAAGTTTGTCAAAAGAAATTTCATAAAGAAAATATGATTGACAGACCAGTTATTAAGATAAAGCTGAAGGACAGCTTGAACTGGAGTTTCCTACAGAAAAGTGATGTACTCTGCTTATGACACATATGGAAAAAGCACATTAAAACACTGCAAATAGTTTTTAAGTGACTATTTTATTTAAAAAAAAAAAAAGATTTATTTTGGATAAATATGCAGGAGATAGTTGTTTTTAAATAACGATGTTACCATTAATTCTCTTAACGGCAATTTTTGTACAGGTACATAACCCCGCTTTAACATTCTGACAAAAATAACGGCTTGCTTCTGGTTAACACCGCATTTTCAGGTGTTTTGTTTTTATAACTATATGCGCTGCTGGGAAAAGCACGCAATTTTAGGGTTTTCCCCACGACTAAGACAGCAGCAAGGAGCTTCCGAAGGATTCAGTAACTCAGCCTGAAAAACCTTCCACCAATTAAAGCATAACCAGCGGTCTAGTAAACCAAACCTCTTGGCCATGCTGTACTTAATTATCAACCCGACGGCACGGAAAGGAACGGAGAAATTGCGCTCTGTGCCTCTGAGGGCAGCTGAGGCTAAACGCACGCTCGGTTGAGAAAACAGACCGAGATGGAAAGGTGCTGGGAAAGCTGAACTTAAATTTCCAGCCGCTGAAAGCTGGTGGTTGGTAACCGGTAATTCAACATCTACATCAGCAGGCTGGTTTTTCGGAGGTGTGGAAGTCATAGCTGTGGGTCTTCATGCCTCTGAAAATGTCCTCCTTCCCCCCAGTATATATAATTAGAAATAAAAGAAAAAAAAAAAAGGAAGTATTGAGAACCATATTATGTGGACAGGCCTCCGTGTGATGCTTAACCAACGCAACGTGACCCAAAACCATCCCCCGTCCCTCCCGACGCCGGCTCTGCCGTGCCGTGGTGGGGAAGGCAGCGGTGCGCTCCGGGCACAGCGGGTACAACCGGCACCCCATCACGCAAAACTGTACCCACCTCCAGCTTTAATGGAATACCCTCAAGTCAGATTTACCCTTTAACTCCCTAACAAATGAAAAGAGGTCCGTGTCTTTTTCCGAGTAAGTACTTATTTTAGTTCTTTTCACCAGTAAAAACAGAGCGAATATACCTCATTTGCCATCAGTGATGACCAAAGCTACGGGGATGATCAGGTATCGCACACTTCTCACACTCGCATGCAGCAAACCCCACCGAAGATTGCCTCGGACATAAAGGTGGTTAAAATCATTTAAAACAAGTATTGCCGAGGAGTTTTAGATCGCCAATGTTACATTTATTCCTTTGCCTGTGCGCTTAGAGGAGTCACACCTTTCTGCAACCTGCTGCAAACGGGGAATCCATGAAAGTAATATACAATATAAGTAGCCAGATATTAGCTCCTGATTCTGTTAACGACAGGTGCATCGGGCTAAGCAAAAAGATGCTCTCACCACAGGGACATACGCCTTTTGAATGAGAAATGATCACCACGCGTTTGCAAACACAATGAAACTCTCTTTCACGTGGAAGAGATGAGTGTCCACACAGATTGGTTTAAGAACAGATTCCTCCTTCTAGTGATAAAAGACTTTTTTTTTTTTTTCCCGGCATTTTTTTAAACACTCTCTCTAAACTATATATAAAAATGTCTCACTTTTAAAACCAAAATAATAATTGCTCAAAAGCTGATCATAAATGGTTAATACAGAGCTTTTCATTTTAATTTCAAGTTTAATCAAATAGTTTAATAGTACAGTCTATGAAAATAATATTACAATGATTAATAAATTCATGTTTCTCATATATCTGAAGCTGTTTAATATCCCAGGCTCAGAACCTCTCCTGCAGCTGCTTGAAGCAGCAGCTTGTGGTAGGGAGGAGGATGCCGGTCGCCGATCCGCTGGTCCTCCGCTCAGGTCCTGGAGGGGGTTAGGGATGTCCCGAGCATCCTGGGACCAGCTGGGCTCGGTTTTGGGGGGATCAGACCAAGAATGGCAGCCCATGGCTATGTCATTTCGGGGTTGATGCGATGCTAACAGAGAGAGACTTGTATAAAACACTGCTCCTCATCTCATTTCAAAAAGAGAAAAAAAAGCTTTGAGAAAATCGGCCTGAAGATTCAACATTCCCTCTGTAACAGTTTTTAAGTCCCTGAAAACCCGAAACGACTGTGGGTAAATTCTCGGGCCATTCACTGCGCAAAAAAGTGGAGGAAGCGACCAGATTTTGGTCTGTCATTTTTCCCAATATCGCCGGCACTAAGAGTTGAGAGGTATATAACATTTTAACGGCTGGAGCCATTAGGAATAGACCGATAAGCAGTGTGCACACAGTGAATACGGTGTTACGTTCTGTCGCATTCAAAAAACAGGTGGAATTTACTAATGTAATATCACAGTCATTAATTGTTAAATACCAAGCTGAAGTGATGCAGCAACCGGAGCCTTATCAACTATGCCAGATTCTAACACCTAGACATTGCAAGGTCTGCAGTTATGATGGACTACCTGAGTTGATAACACATGGAATTATCTAAACAACATTTGCATATTTGTGTAATTATTTCCTAAGGTTAATTAGCTCCTGCAAAGCAGCTTGCCCTTTGAGACTGCTTACTGTGACAGGTTCACATATTTCCTGTTTCGATGCCAAATTTTACTTTTTTTTTTTGTTTGTTTAGTGTTTTTTTGTTTGTTTGTTTGTTTGTGTTTTTAAAGTAACCTGTTGCTGGAAAGTTACAGACAGGGCAAGACCTGGAGGCACTGAACTACTACAGACTTTACTGTGGCAGAGCAGCTTAGATCCCACCTTAAACTTGTAATTCATCAAAATTTAAGAAAAATCAAATAAAGAAAATCAAATTGGTTTTAAGCTGTGGTGACAGCTCTCTCCTTTTACTTTGTTGTTTTTTAAAATCAAGGAGTTGGAGTCACTTTTTTTTTTTTTTTGGCGACAAGTGAAAAGTGAAATGCATACAAATATGGAAATATGCCATACAACCGAATAGCTTTTCAACAATTTAGTTGAAGGTGGTTTCTATAATTACTGCTTATCACAGCAAAACAATTTCTCCTTCTAGCTCGACGAGCTACTGTAAACAAGTATGGTACATGTGTTAAATCCGGGAGAACAGAACTGCACGCTGTCGGGCAGGCAGAGAGACGGAGAGGGCGCAGGTCTCCTGTCTCCCACCCCTCCCTGGAGATGTCAGGTCCTTCCCCACCAGCAGAACCTTTGCGGTTGTGTACAGCTCATCCCATTGCCTCAGTGAGCCTCGGGGCC